AAGGCAACTGTCTAAATAGGAAATATGCCCTTAACATCACAAAAAACAAAAAAAGCAAAAAAACATAAAAAAACACATTTTCCAATTCGACGGAAATTTTTACGGGCAAGTGGATAAGGTTGCCATGAGCTCTCCTCTCGGACCACTAATGGCAAATGCGTTTATGTGCCATATTGAAGAAAAATTGGAAAACCAAAACAAGATGTCTGCTTTCTATTAGCGGTATCTCCAAAAAACCTCAGCAAAATGCCCGATGTTTCATCTGCCTCTGTTTTCGTGTCAACACTGAATGAAATCCACCCTTCACTCAGCTTCACAATGTAACCTGAGAACAACGACAGACTTCCCTTTCTTAGACTGATGATTACCAGAAACATTCCCCGACTGTCAAGTCATTGAACGGTAGTCAATAAATGGTGTTTTGACATTAAATTCTGGACTTGAAATAAAACTGGAAAATTACATGAATCATCAAATACATAGAGTAAAAGTACTGAGTGGCTGCTTACGCCACTCGTCATGTGACCAGACATGATCAGACACGAAGGTCTGCGGGAAACCAACTGATACTGGAATTTCACAGCATTACCAAAGCCACGATAAAGCAGCCATATACTCTCATGATACTTGATAATAACATGTCTATTCCTCATTGTCATGATTTGGGTGTAGCTCTTTGGAGGTATGCAGCACGCATATGCGACCAAAAAGAAAATGAGAAACTACAAGAAAAAGTTGGCGACAAGTTCTGTAAACTGATAAGACTTTACCCTCATGTGTTTCTTATTACCTGACAGGTGGGTGGACCTATTTTCTCTGTCGACTGATTGATGATATATAGAAAGCCTCTCGAGAATTCTTGCACGTTGCAAAATTAAGTTATACATGCAGACCCCATGGTATAAACGTTGTTACAACTGTTTGCCTCTTCAAATTGAAGAGTTCTAGTATTAAATGACATACTTGTTTCACAAAAAGTCCTATATTTGGAAACAAAAATGACCACAGTGCTTGCGGAAGTTTATATGCACTGCAAATTGTTTACCAAACAGCCGGTATTACATACCTATTCGTCGTTGAGAACTTCTCATTGTAATGATTTGGGCGTAACTCTTTGGAGGTATGCAACACGCATATGCGACCGCAAAGAAAGTGAAAAACTAAACAGAAAATGTGGTGGTAAGTTTTATAAACTGATGGGACTTTACCTTCATGTGTTTCTTATTACCTGACAGGTAGGTGGACCTATTTTCTCTGCCAATAATCTCTTGTCTCAGCATAATACTTCCCTTCACTACTTGTAATAATCTAATTTTATGAATGACCGTCACGAGATATCTCTGTTCATAACTTATCAAATTCTTCCAACCCTTCTAGAGTAAGATGAGGCTAAGTAAACACCGATAAAGTTCATTATTGTGCATTCGTCCAGGCAGGGCCTTATATGTTACACAATCTCAGAGGCTTTTCTTCTTAAAATTTTCCGCCAGCGATCGTTTCGAGAAGAATATCCTTCCATTCAAGCTAGGAAGTGCAGAGTGTTCTTCCATATGCGAATAACGCATGCATCTTCCGCTAAATAACTTAAAATTGATTTATTTGCGTTTGTGCTCCTCTCTAATTACCATAACGAACTATGATGATGGAGATATGAAAACACAGCCACCGTGGCTGGCTGTTAACCGATCCAATTATTAAAAGCAACAAATGATATGTTTTTATCTTCATTGTTTATTTTTATTTATTTATTTATTTATTTATTTATTTGTAATTTTTAAGGCTTAGGTTCCAATGTGACCAATCCCGCTGACTGGGAGTTTCTAGCTTTCTAGAATTTCCTTACTCTCGACCTTGTTCTGTTACATGCGATCATCTTTTGCATTTACCGCCCTGATAATGAATTGTTTCAGTTGCGCACGTGCTCTCCTTAGATTACGTACCTGACTTTATCCGATATTGTGAAAACTCGACAACAGAGTCATTTACATTATTCAATTAAGCCGCACAATAATGAGATAAAACTGTTATTTAGAACGATTTACAATCTGTAAATCACCAAAGCATATCTTCACGTATCCGCCATTGAGAAGACGCTGTAAGTTCTTTGAGGACCTATTTGATTTCAGTGAGATGTCCTTCGTTAATTTCTCTTTAAAAAAGCTTACACCTTGTCATTCGATAATAAATCAGCTTTGATAAAGCGAGAGTGAATATCTTGTGACGATATGTCATGGCTTACTGAGATTATTACGGAGTAGAGTATAAAATGAGTTTGACTTCAATGATAGTCAGACGGCTAAGCTCACTCACTCACTCACTCACCCACTCCATCAATCGATCAATCAATCGATGGATCCAAAGATATGTTACGCACATTAAATTTCACATTATTTTATGACCTCAGGGAAAATGCCCGGCAGATTTGCGTGCGTATTTATCGGAAATACAATGATTATTTATTAATACATTCCTTCTGATACGATACTGCTGCAAGCTACCGAGATATATTTGTTTTATACAGCCTTGTTGAACCAAAAAAATACCAGGTATATATATTATTCGCATAATTAGCATCATGTTTTTTTCAGAGCTAAGGCTGACTTCAAATGCTACCTTTAAATTTGAATGCATAGGTTTTTTATTTCTATTATTTTATCAGACCATAAAATGTCGATGTCTTCTTTGTCTGGAAATTTGGACATGTTCATAATTAGCTGTTGTTTAATCAAACGCAGTCTTCAGACTTTGGAAAGCGAAAATAACTATACATTTACTCAGCGGCTGAAGAGAAAAACAAATAAACCATCTAAAATCAAAAAAAAAAAAAAAAGCAAAAAAATCCTCTGTTTTCAAGCCTTGTGTAATTAAACTTCTTATGACCAAACGCAAAATTCATGGTACTTTTATTGAGATCCATTATTCATTGACATTAAAGAACGGTGAAGATTTCAGCTGACCGTTCAAAAGGTCGTCTGGACTGTGATCAAACGCATGAAAAAATGCACCCAAAGACTATTTGAACATTTTTTGTTTTGATCGCAAATAGTTTTCGCGTGAGTATTTCCTAATCCAGAAATCCATTTGCAGCGGATACCGGGTAAAAACGAAAAAAAAAGGTGAACCAGCAGTTTTTCTTGGCGCGCATAAAGGTGATAAGCCACTTGAGTTCTTAAGCAAAGGTCTTTATTGTATAAGTCTTTTGTTGAACTAGAAACATCGCGAAAGTAAAGAAAGTAGTTTTACTCGGTGAATAACTTGAAATTATCGTCAGATAATGCGAGCGGAGCTTTGAACATCACCATAAAGGATACCTCCGCCCGCGCAATTTTTTTCATTATCTAAAAAATCAACATGATTTTTGGGAAACCTCTAAAACACCACGGTTTGTATTGAAAATTTGACAAAAAAATTTTAAATGCAAGGTATTTATTCCATTTAAATCCGCATTTTGGACCGCAAAAGTAACCGCGGCGTATTGTGTAATGATTACTACGATGTGATTTGGATTGAAGTGTTCAATGTAATACTATAATGCAGAAAAATTGCTGACGTGCGTCTGTCTATAACTTTGGTGGCGATAGGAAAATCTGGCATGTTATTAAAATAAATTTTTTATGAATTATTCTGCCAGTTGATAAATAGTTCGTCATTTAGTTAACATAGCTAGTAAATTTGTCTAATCAAGTTCAATTGCGTGAGCGTGCTTCATATTCCTATTGTGCACGCTCATGACGTTAACAAACAAATCCCTCGAGAGAAAAAAATGTTATAAAACAATTGGTTCATACGTCCGGTGTGCGTTCATCGAGATATGAAGCACTTGGGAAGTTTGGAGAGCACTCAAGAAGCTAGAACTGATTTAATGATTTTATCTTTCGTTTATATTTAGAGTGTATTTAACGTATCAACTCGAATTCCGATGTTATTTAGGTTTAAGCTGACGGGACGAATTTCCGACTTGTGACAGTCTCGTCTAACTTCTTTAGGTGGGCGTGATTAGTTTGCTTACTGACCTTGCTTTGGACCCACGCGGAAGTTTATGTTTTGGCTGACACAATCAGAGGTTGACTCTGTTGAACGACAGCATTGTTCATTGTTCATTTCGAAAGTCTCGTGAAATTGTTTGGTTTAGTGTTACAACAAAAAAAGTTCAATCTCCCAAGGTCAGCTGGCTGGCATGCCCACCTACATCTGTCAGTAGGGACTATTAAAGCTTTTTCTTTGTGGCTTACTCAGGAGAGTGGAGAGAAGAGAGAGGAAAGCAGACTAGGAAAATGAAGACATAGTGCAGAAGAGTAGGGTCAAACTTCTGTAGTTGAAGAAGAAGAATTTAGTGAGAATCAGAGTGTGAGAACCTTAGATATTAACGACAGTTACACAGATTGAAATAAACTTGAATTTTAGTGGAATTGTGTGTTGGATCCAGGGAGCCGAGTAATTAAAAAAAAGGTGAAAAAAACATTTTCGAGAGTATTGGTGTCTTTCACCGAACATGGTGTGCTCGTTAGCTAGTTCCTTCCTAACAAATTATTCTAATTGCGTTCTTATCGAGACTTGTTGTTTCGAAAATATCATACAAGAAATATCTGTTGTAAACGCGATGCTTGAAAGGATGCCAGAACACAGACAATGATAACAGCTTCTATTAATATCAGAGCAAATGCAGTAGTCATCATTATGTTGAGAAATTGTCATAGAGCACGACCACGCGTAAACGGAAGTAGGCATGCTTCAAACGAAATAGTTTGGTAGTATTGATCTGTATAGAAATAAGCGATTAAGAATGCCGAACCTGTTAAGAAGAAAGTATCGGACTGACGTGTCGTGCGACACACGTTTCAGCTGTGTCTGGATTTTTTCTCCTTGCACCGAGCTAAATTCTAAGAGAAAAGAGATTTAATTTTGAGACAAAGCGTAACTAATTTGTTGTTTCGTTTGTCGCATTTAGATTTTTTGCGGCCTTGATTGTTTTGGTTTTGGTAAATTCCCAATTAACAACTGTGTACTTTATTCTCCAGGTGGAACAAATTTAAAAAACAACGACAAAAACGGAAATTTTACCTTTAAATGTTGTTATTAACCGATTGGTGACCTTTTTTGGTTCCCAGCGAATGTCTTTCGGTTTTATTTTTGTTGCTTGTTGGATCAAGACCTAAAAGGTTAATGTCGATAGAAAAATTGGGCAGTTCTTCGCTGGTTTCTTCCATATTTCAAAGAGAAGGAAAACTGCACTGCAGCTTAACAGGACGGAAGCTCTGAAGCCTGGTTAAAAAAAAAATGCTCACGTTATCTTATTTACGCACGGGCGTACGCAAATAAAGATTTTGTTCATAGCGGCTCAACAGGACTTATATAGGTCAAGCA